TTGTTGGCCCTGGGTGGGGTTGATGTCCCTGCCTGGGGTGGGGGTAGGGATGAGGCAGGAGGATGGACCCCGGGGCCAGCCTCTGAAGCTGTGGACTTTGTTGGTCTTGAGGGTGCTTGTGTGGGGCAGGCTGCTTCAAACTGTTTCACAGTGAGTGAATAAAAGAGAGAGGAAGGCAGAATCCTAGCATGCAGGAAGCTGGGGCAGGAGGACTGTGAGTCTGAAGCCAGCCTGCACTACACATGGAGACCCAGGCTTCAGGTCCCTAGGATCTTGTGGGACCCTCAGAACCCCAGTCTCTCCATCTGTGTAGAGAGACAAGACTCAGGAGCTTGAGGAACTGGAGTCTAACCTGGAGCCCCTCCCTGGGAAGCCCAGGAAGCAGACTACAGAGCAGTGTCATGCCCCTGCTGTGGTCCAGCCCCTGGCTCCTCAGCCTGTGTTGACTGCTGTGCTTCATCCCTCTTCCTTCCCCAGTGGCTGAGGAAGCAGCTGCTGCAGGACCCTGGGCACGAGACTTGCCCACCTGTGGACGGTGGCAGCCAGATGCCCAACACACTGGATACCTGCTGTGCCCCCTGCCCTCCTGCCCCCTGCTCCCCACCGTCTCCCAGACAGTGGGTTTAAGGCACACACAACTGTGGGGTGACCACAATGGAACCCCGCCACCACAGAGATCTTCTCCAGCTTTGTTTTTACTGGGGGCCTGACCCGGGAGTGAGAACAGGAAACCTGGCCTCAGCTCCCTTGGGGCTTTCCAGGTTCCCCTTAAGGCCCTAGGGGTTTCCAGGTCCTCCTTGAGAGTTTCCAGGCCTCCCCTGTGTTTCTTCGAGGCCCCAAGAAACACAGAATTTTCATTAGGGTTTAAACCCTTTTCCAAGGTCTCCAGGCTCCCCTCCTCCCCACAAGGAAGAGCCTGGACAGCCGGTGAAGGTCCCCATGTATCTCACAGAGCCTGGAGGGGTGCTCCCCACACTGCCTTGCTTGTATCCCTTAAAGATATTCGTGGCACATAATAAATATCATGGAGTCCCTTGAAGACTGGTTTCTGTTTATTATCTTTATCTGTAAACAAGTTCTCAACGGGCCGTGGTGGCGCACGCCTTTACTCCTAGCACTGGGGAGGCAGAGGCAGGCGGATCTCTGTGAGTTCGAGGCCAGCCTGGTCTCCAGTGTGAGTGTCAGGATAGGCTCCAAAGCTACACAAAGAAACCCTGTCTCGAAAAACAAAACAAAAAAACAAGTTCTCACTATAGTTGGCCTTCAACTGTATCTCAGCCTCCCAAGGGATGACTGCTGTGTGCTGAGTGGGGGCTGCAGGACACTGGCTGCTCTTGGAGAGGACCCAAATTTGGTTCCCAGCATCCACATGGCAGCTCACAACCTTCCCACATGCAGGTTGGCATCCTCTCTTGCTGTCCGAGGGCAGCAGACAGTATACACACCCACATAAAGTAGATTAGTAAAGCTTTAAATGGACAGACTGCCAGCCGTGCCTGGTGGCGCGTTTCAGCCCAGTCCTGTGGTGCAGCTCAGTGGGTAGGATGTTGTAGTCAGTTATTGGTGTACTTGTGTGGCATGGATGGAGCCCTCGGCTCCATTTCCAGCACCTGTTAACTGGGTGTGGCAGCACACATTTACTGTTCCAGTACTGAGGCTGAGGCTACAGGAGACCCTGTTTCAACCATCAAAAATAAATAAAAATTAAAAGCCGTAGTACCTACCACTGTTGCAAACATTGAAAGGAATGTTTCCTCAGGCTTGGTAAAGATGCAAACAAAATGTGGCCCTTATGGAAACAAGCTTGTTTGGATAGGTAACAGAATTAAGCCAAGCATGGTGGAGCATGCCTGTCAGCACTGGTGGGGGTGCAGACTGAGGCAGGGGACTGAAGAGCAAGGACAGTCCCAACCCTGAAGCAAGCAGGAGCCATTCAGGGAAAAGGGGTGAAATGTGCTCAGGAGGAGGTGGCTGCTCCCCCAGCACTGGCCGGGGTGGGAGCCGGGGATGAATCACGAGGCCAGCAGTACCACACTCTGCCACTGCTCCTCTGGGACAAAGCTGCGATATTTCCTGGATCCGGAAACACGGGCGAGAGCCTGTCACTGCAGGAAACACTTGGCTGGGGCCTGGCCAACAGGGCCACCAGGGGTCAGCTTGGGAGGCCTCCGGGACAGCCGGACTGGAGGCCCCAAGGAACTGGGGATGTCCCTGGCCCTGAGCCTGAGCCTTGGGATGAAGCCGACCTGGTAACCACAGAGAGCCTGCTCAAGATCTGATGGCCACAGTCCTGGATGTAAATCTCACTCCGACTCAGCCTGTTTCCTCTTCTAAGACACCATGTCCCAAATCTGTAACCTCAGCTGCTTGGGAGACTGAAGCAGGATTGCTTAAGCCCAAGAGTTCCTGGCCAGCCTGGGCCACACAGCAAAAAAACACCTCTAACCGCAATAACAGTTGTAATATGTGTAACACCTTCAGGCTACATTGCTGACCTGAGATCCTATTAAAGAAAACAAAAAGTCCGGCTTCCCCAGCCACTGCCTCAGGAGGGTCCTGCACTGATCCATAGCTGTCTTTCCTTCTTGGAGTCTGCTGCTCACACCCTCTCCATGGCTCCCCGTTACCTGACAAATCCAGGTTCTTAGCCCTTAGCCCTGTGTCAGCTCACAGAACTGGGGTAGCCCTAGCTGCTCTCTGAAGTTCTTCTGGTCAGGACTTAAAGATGAGCTTGGTTTGTGTTTTTTGTTTTGTTTTTTTGGGGATGTTGGGAGGCCCGACTAGTCTCATTATGTAAACCAGGCTGGTCTCTAACTCAGAGATCCTCTTGCCTCTGCCTCCCCAAGTGTTGGGACTGAAGAAGATAAGGGTCACCACCCCTGGCTAGTCCCAGTTTTTAAGACTGTGCTGGCATAGGTGGAGCGGTCCTTTTGTAGCAGTCCTCCTGCCTCAACCTCCACGAAGCTGGGACCGCGGGTGCACTAACATGCTTGGCAATACTTTTCCTTGCCCGAGAAACTTCTCTGTTCAAGACCAGGGTTTGCAAAGTAAAATTTTGAACCATGCCAGGGTGATGGCTCCGTGGGTGGGAGCACTCGCTGCTACAGCAGGAGGGACTGAGACTCAACCCCAGCACCCACATAAAAGCTAGGGCGACCGTGCGCCTGCAGCCCCTCCGCTGCGGCTGCAGGAGAGTCGGGAGGATGCTGAGCGCTGGCCACCAGGGCGAGCCTGACCTGTGACCTGTGACCACTCGGACTCGCACCTCCACGTGGCACACGCAAACACCCCGGGCCCCAGGCGGCGCTCCCTGGCGGAAGGGGGCCCAGTGCCCGGTCGCAGCCGCCTCCGCTGGGTGAGGCCCTGACTCTTTGGGGATTTCCTGCGTCCTCTATAAATAACCCCCCGCCGCTTCCCACAAACTCCTCACCCTTCTTGGAAAAAAGGGACAGCGGCCAAGGCCTCGGTGCAGCTGTGTGCCAGGCCCGAGGCAGGCGGCCTGCAGCGGGCGAACTGCCCAGAGGTCCGGCCCCGCCCAGCGCGAGGCGCCACAGCTCCTCCAGGGAGCCGTAGGACCCTTCCCCTGTTCAAGGCAGGGTCTGACGTTTTACCCCAGCCTGGCGCGGGACAAGCGTTGGAACGACGAGGACGCGGCCTGGGGACGCTCGCCCTCTGCTGGCCAGTTGCCGCCACACCAGGGGCCCCGGCTCACTATTGCCACCTCGCGGCCTCAGCACGGACCCGTCTCTGCAAGGTCTGTCCCAAGTCCCTGACAAGTCAGATAGATCTCCTTGTAGCCATGCCAGGACACCCAAGTGCTGTCCCCAGAAGGTCCTGACAAAGTTCAATGTGGGGTGCAATTGACTGCCCAAACCCAAAGCCCGAGGCCATCCCCCCAACCTCTCTTTTCTGATCTATAATTTGGGAATATTTGTGCCCATCAGGCGGTGCACTGCTGAGGATCCTTGTGACTCTGAGGCCAGCACCATCTACAAAATAAAAACCCTATCTCAAAACTAAAAATAATACAAATAAGATAAAGACACTTGAAAAGGCTGGGGAGAGGCAGGTGGATCTCTGTGAGTTTGAGACCAGCCTGGTCTA